TACCATATTTACACAATAAAATCATTGAAAACATCATTTTAAATCCAATTGTCACTATGTCTGAATCTTGTCTATACTGGTCAGAAAGGCACAAATAATTTTAATACATCCCATTTCATGAAGAATGCACATCTAATATTATTTGTTCCTGGTTAACATTTTAATTAATTTTATTTTGATTCTGTACTCTGGTTTTATTGTGTAAATATGGTAAGCCACTTTATTACATATATTCTGTAAAGACCGGTTGGTTGCAAGTTGTCAGTTAAGATGGATGGATGGATGGATGGATGGATGGATGGATGGATGGATGGATGGACAGATCTTTTTTCCACTGAGCTTGTATGAATAGAATAGAATAGAATAGAATTCTTTATTGGCCAAATGCGATTATCTTTGTTGCATATGCTCTCAATGTACATAACAGAATAAAATACATTCATCAAGAATAAAAAGATGCAACACTTAGTGATAAGGTTACCAATAAGCTATCAAATCATACTAGGAAACAAACAAAAACAATATAAATTGAAAGATTTAGTATTTAGTATTTAGTATTTATTAGGATTTATAGGCCGCCCTTTTCCCTAAGGGGACTCAGGGCGGCTTACAATCATTAGGAATATTAGATACATATGGGACCTCTTCCATATGATGCTTTGGGGGAAAAAGAAAGTTGAAATTTTCCAAAATAGCAAATATGTTCCTCATAAGCCTTCATGGGAAATTATCAGGTAGACTCTTGTTTGTTACTTAGGATTGATGTCATTAAAGTAAAAATAATATTGCAAGTGTTATATCAATGAAGAAGAATATTTGGAGCTCGGGATTGACATGAAGGAGTCCTTGGTGCTCTCTGAACTTACTTGTATTCCTGCAGACGTTTAATTGCCCAAACTAGGTAACGTCATCAGTGCTGATAAGGAGTGGAGCAAAACTGACAGCCCTTCTTAGTAGCCCTGATGATGTTACCTAGTTTGGGCAATTAAACATTTGCAGGAATACAAGTAAGTTCAGAGCGCACCAAGGGCCCCTCAAGTGTGATATCACCTTGGTGTTTTTTGTTTTCATTACCAGCCTTCTTTATTGACCCTCTGCTCTGAGGGGAAAAAAAAACTTTTTCATTTCTGTTGAGGAATATCAGAAGAATATCTCTTCTATAAATAGTTTGATATTTTTGTCATTTTTTGAAAAGTGATCAGCGCAAGCAATTAGCATCCAGACATCCGAGCCGTGGTAGGTTGCCTGAACCTGTTCCAGATTCTCTTTTAACTTTGACATTGTCTGCCTCTTGCTGATAGTTACAGCAGGTGTTGATTGACATAAGACATAAGACTTTGACAGTATATTTCGTTGTGTGTCTTAAAAGTTTTCCTTAATATGGAATACAACACAGACAAGCAGACAATACTTCTTCTCATAACACTATTTTATTACACAAATTATAAACTTTATTCTATTCTCTGTTTTTGATTTCTAGTCTTATTTAATCTATAAAGTATTCTTGTATTCTATTTCTGTGTTCTTACTCCCGTGTATATAATTTTATGCTTTTTAAAAATCTTAACTATTTCTTAATTCTTTGTATTCTAAGTATTCCCCCCTTTCCTCAGGGGCAGGTGGAGACGCTAAGTCTGAGAGAATGGTCAATTGTCTAGAGCCGTGATGGTGAACCTATGGGACTCGTGCCACAGGTGGCACGTGGAGCCCTCTCTGCGGGCACGCGAGCCGTCACTCAGCTCAGCTACACTGCACATGCAAGGGCGCCTCCTGCCGGCCAGCTGCCGCATGTGTGGGAAATGCACACACATGCATGGGGGGCGGGGCGGGACAGGGAGTCATTTGTGTATGTGTGGGGGGTGCAGCATGCCCCCCTGCCCATTTTTGACCCCAGGAGGCTGCAGGGAGGCCTGGTAGGCCCAACATGGGGTGGGGTGGGGTGGGGGTTGCACACATATGTGTGGGGATCATGTGCATGCACAGGAGTCACACACAGGTGTGTGTGCGTGCATGCGCAGGGGGGCAGGGCGCATTGCATTATGTGTGTGGGTGTAATTTCGGCACACAATGAGAAAAAGGTTAGCCATCACTGGTCTAGAGCTTCCTACTGAATTCATGGCAACAATCAAATCTTATCTTTATGATGGTCATAGACCAGCATAAGGAAGGCAAGGTACGGTCAATTAAAAGGCATGGAAAGCACACCAGAGTCTAAAGAAATATGAAAAACTTTCTAGTATAGTGATGGTGAACCTTTTCGGCACCGAGTGCTGAAAAGGGAGCATGTGTGCATACATGCGACTGCAGCACTGAATGCCAAAAAAGGAGTACTTTGTGTGCTCGTCTGGGATCAGGAAGAGGAGCTGCCTAGCGCCACAAATTCTTTCTTTCTTTCTTTCTTTCTTTCTTTCTTTCTTTCTTTCTTTCTTTCTTTCTTTCTTTCTTTCTTT